AGGGAGGGATGATATTCCAATATATCACCCTCACGGTCATTTTGTCGGGATTTTTCTGGGCTGGGGTGTTCTTGTCGATCAAGTGCATGAAGGATAGGATGCACACCCTCAGGATACTCCCTATCAGGGGACTCCCCACGGTCCGCGCAACCCTCCCCATCCTCTGCTCAATCCTCTTTTTGTGAGGGCTGCAGAGCGCTTCCCCACCTTCACATATCTCATGCCCAGGTACAACCCCAACACAGAGTGCCTAGTGTGCACGAACCATTTTAAAGAAGGGGCGCATGTGACATTGCTTCTGCCATACAAGCACTACATGCACAGGGAGTGCTTGGCAGGGATGCTAGCTGCACATCGGCGTTGTGCCTTGTGTAGAACAGAGATGGATCTCAAGGATGACCTTCCCCAAGTTGAGCCCCTTGCTTAACCCCTAGTGGGTACGAATTAATGTTTGTTTGTTTATTTATTTAAGCTAGGTAAATATGAGATAATGGTTGTTAGGATCCTTAATTATTCTATCCCGATATTATTGTTGGTAGGACTCATAAAAGATGAAAGACCATGTATAGAAAGTATCGGCTGGGCTCTTTGTATAATGTAGTGGAATTGTGTACTAATTTTGGCTTGTTATTCACATGCAGATTATTCTGCTTTAGATCTTCCTCTTGTACTTCACATTTGTCTATGTCTTTCTTATACATTCTGAAATGTTGTAATGTCTTTTATACAGGTAAATAGGATGACGACAACTTAGATTTTATCTTGATTATAAAATTTGAAGTTCGCTATTCTCATCAGCAAAAAAGGACTTGCTTGAAGCTGTGTCTACTCGATTACTATTGAAGTTTAAGAATTGGCTTATTTCAGAATTAATTTAATTTGATGAGTAATGTGAGATAATCGTGCTTATGGGATTTATTGTGAGTCTTATACAAGTGGATGTATCTTGCTTGACAGGATAATTATTTTGATTTCATATTTTTGCCACATTTTCCAGAATTATTACAGATGATATTTAGAGTATTCGGTTCTACCTAGAGTGAAATTTGTCTCTTCATGTTGAAACTATCTGCACAAGAAGTTCCTCTTCGCAATGCCTCCCTAAGTAAATACAATAAAACTTTCTCAACCACACTATAAATTTATATAGCTGGTGAATTTTTTCTAAGAAAAAGTGAATAACCTGTCAACTATGCCTTGACGTTTAACCAAACATGTAGGATCCGCAACATGTACCCAAATCCTTATCCTACCATCTTGCAGCCTCATTGCTCTCAATGCATCATCAAGCTGCATTATAAACCAAATACTGATGATGTGAGGCAGGTCTCTATTAGTGGAATAAATATATGGAGAAAACAGCAAGATGAAAATTTTGTTAAAATCGAATCTACAATCTAATAATGCATTCTTATAATACCTTGTTTGCTTCATCCACGTCAATTGCATAGACTTTCAAGAATGTAAGATCTTTCCTGCTAACCTACAAGGCAACTGAAGTTGAACAAACTGACACGGAAGGAAAAGGATAGAGAAAGTACGCACCATTAGTTACCATTTTTAATTTTTGCTAGTAGTTTATGTTAGAACTTCACAATAGATGTATTTATAAAACATTTAAGTTTTTATTCTAGTTTTGTAAAAGCAATGTGCCTTAATATCATTTTATTTGATTCTTATGTCGAGACATTTGTATTCAGTTCAGATATTACCTCTTAATATCATTTTATTTGATTCTTATGTCGAGACATTTGTATTCAGTTCAGATATTACCTTTTTAGAGACTTATCCATTTATATCAGTGGTAGTGATTATTCTTCTAAGTATCTGTTGTTTACTTTCCTTTCTGTATACTCTCTTTTGCCTATTTTGTACCTACATCTGTTGTTGATTCTATTAGATAGGTAATGACTGTGATGGTGAAGCATGTCGTAGCATGGTGTTTGGTGCTTGACAGGTTTGACATTCTTAGTTTTACCTTGGACTGCAGCCTTACTAGGGGCGTCACAATTTCAGAGGTGATTTTAGATATATCTATATATAGAGAAAAACCCTTATTTATGTTAAGTAGAAAAATGAAATAGATTCTCTTCACTCCCATCTGGATTGCAACACTCGATCCCAAGGCTTTTTCTTATATCAATCTTGGCACTGGCATACCATACTTAGAAGAGGTATTACTGCAGAAGAGAGAAATGAAATAGATTCTCTTCACTCCCATCTGGAGTCTTTCTCCTGTAAGGACATCTCTTGCCTTGACAATCTATGGTGGCCTCTTCATCCCTCACGTCTCTTCACAGTGAATTCTTTTTATTCTGCTTTACAATATGGAGGATTGAAATCCAGATATTATAACTTCATATGGAAATCTCACAATCCATTGAAAGTTAAAGTATTCTCTTGGATTGTTAGCAAAGGTAAGCTCAACACTAGGGCAAATTTAGTCTCCAAGTGTTGGATCAGAGATCCTGGATGTCCGTTTTGCAGAGTGGAAGTGGAAAATCAGGACCACCTTTTTATCAGATGCCCCTTTGCCTCCTCAATCTGGTCTACTCTTCTCTCTAGCATCAATGCATCATCTTGGCCTCAAGATATGAGAGATCTGATCCTCCTCTGTGATTCTCCTATTATAAGTCGCGAAATCAGAGCTATTTGGGAAGTTCTACTGCCATGCTGTTGTTGGTGGATCTGGAACAGTTGAAACTACCTTATTTTTAATGATGTCCAGCCTAACCCTGATCATATTGCAGCTAATGTAGCTAGATACTCTCTGTTATGGGCAGGTGCTCAAGAGGTAGGATGCCTAGAAGGATCCGCAGGGCAGCTACGAAATTGAAGTTCGAAGAGATCGCTAGGAAGCATGCGACTGACGTAGTGGGAGAGAACTTCTCTACTGATTAATCTTTACATATGTATTATATATATTATATATATATAATATATATATTATATATATAATATATATAATATATATATCCCAAAATTGGTTTTGAAACAAACATGGTTTATGGAATTCTAAAACCCAAAAAACTTGTAATCCACCTTATATCCCCAAAAAAAGTTGAAACAAAAGAGAGGATTTCACAAATCCTAAAAATATATTATTTTTTTATAATTTAGGGATTCAATATCCCAAAATTAATTTTGAAACAAACAAAGTTTATAGAATACCAAAACTAAAAAAAAAACACTTTTTACGACCCAAAACTTGAAATCCACTCTATATCCAAAAATTTTTTTGAAACAAGCACCCCTTCTCAAACTGAAATCAACCCTATTCTCTCTTTCTCCACTCCCTACCGCCGCCTCCTCTCTCTGACTCTCTCTCAAACTGTCAAGATATCCGATCTCCTCTCCTCTCTCAAACATCAAGACCTCCAGTCCAGCTTCCCATCGCCACGACTCCTGACCTCCGCTCCCACCGCCAGCCTGAGCCACCTCCGCTCCCACGGTCCCACCGCCAGCCGTGAGCCGCCTCCGCTGATTTTGGTCCAAAGGTCAATGTTTTAATCCATCTTCTTTTTAAGAATCAAATCAATTTCATCGTTTCTTTCGAACATATTCGTGAAAAGCACTTTGTTGACCGTGAACCTCGAAATGAGTTACTGTAATCATCAATTTTACAGGTATTTGTGGGCATAGAAGTGATTTTTAACAATCAAATCTATTTATTAGTCATGGGATCTCTGGGTGGCTAATACCTGGCAAAATCTTCCCTCGACATTTGACCGGCACGTGATCTGAGTATCAATTTATAGGTCAACATGCTATTTACACTTGCACATTCTCCATTGCATAAGAATTTGATGTTCGTTTAACTATATTTGGTGTTTTGGGTGTTCTGATATTTAATTTAAGCAGAATGTGGGTAATAATTGACAAAATTGATTGTGGTCGAGTGTGTTTGGGGTTTTAATATGAAATGCTATATGTGTTATTAACTATTCTGTTCAACATCTCTGATTTGTAGAGATTAATTGTTAGGATTAAGAAGGAAATTTCTCTATAAAATATTAAAGACTGGGTATCGGTTAGTGGGCAGTTCTAAGCCTTACACTAGATGGTTTCTACGCAGGAATAACTGCTCCATTTAAACGTTGCAACTAGATAATTTGTAAAGATACATACATCACCTTAATCTCGAAATTTTGGTTTTTTTGTTTGTTTTGAAAAAATTAAAAGCTTTAGATGATATTGAATTGAAAGAATATTGTCTTAATCTCAAAAATGCACTAAAACATGATGAACATTTAGATATTAATGGACTTGATTTGTTTTCAGAATTGAGAGTGCTAAGGAAATTTTAAAAGTAGAGATTAATAGTCCAATTGAAGTGTTGCACTATATAAAACGGTTAGATTCTTTTCCAAATACTTGTATTGTTTATCGTGTATTATTGACTATACCCGTAACAGTTGCTTCCGTTGAAAGAAGTTTTTCAAAATTAAAATTACTAAAATCTTATTTAAGATCGACCATGTTACAAGATAGGTTGAATGGTTTAGCAATATTATCTATCGAAAGTAATATGTTAGAAAATATTGAATATAAAACTTTAATTAGTAATTTTGCAGCTCAAAAGGTAAGAAGAATGAGATAAAATATATTATGAGTTGTATCACTTAGGTCTCATCTAATATTTCGCCTTGGGCCCCAAAATTCCTAGGTACGGCCCTATCTATCCTTTTCAATTAAAGATTGGAAATTATGCACTGACCATATAAATATCCGTCCTTTGCTTTGTCATCACCTTGACCAGGGCAAGCAACGAAATGGCGTCCGCAAAGTTTCACAGTTTTAGGTTTATTTTCCTTTGCTTTGTCCTTTGTCACAATGCAGTGAATGGTACAGCGAGAAAAGGATTCACTCTGGTATATACTTTTTTCTTAAATTCAATTGCATAGTTAAGAGAATTTTATAACTGACTCCTTGATAATTATATCCAATTTTTATGGATATTTTTTTGCTAGTGAAAAAACTATTGATCTTGCATTGTAGTTTTTTCTTTCTTTTTTTGGACACCGGCCCCCACCCCCACCCAAGTTGTATTTACTTTTATTTAAATAGCTATTTAATTTACCGTCCCAATTGTTATAATCTATCCAATTGTACCCCAAATCCTAATTTGCGGTATTATTTCAGCAGTTTACTTTCTTACCCCTGTCTATTATGAGATAGGGAGGAATCTATTTCTTCCGGCAATAGAACCACCTTACATTCACTCCAGAAGACACCTTCAACTTATCATTCATTGTAATATATTACTCTAACCTCTCTTCTTTTTCCAGTTAACGATGGTTTTGATTAATTTGTTTTCTGGAGTCTTATAAATCCTATGGATAATACTAATGCCCATTGAACTGGTGTTTTAGCAATTAATCATGAAAAGTTCCATTTGATGATCTTTGTGGCGGATGAACGGATAGATTATTTTATATTTAAATTCGTGGAGGATGACAGGGATAACACTAAATATTTGCTCTAAACATTTTCTAAAAGTTTCTGACCACGAAATAAATTTCTCAACGATGGATTTGTCGGTTAATTTCATCTTCGTGGTGTATGAAGTGATAAAACTAAGTGACACCTTTCGTTTAAACTTCAACTAATTAATCCAAGGATAAATTAGTCATTATTTAGTATTTTTTAAAATAAATTTAACGGAACATTCTAGTTTTATTCTCAGATAATTAAAATGGGTGTAAAATTGAAGGATGATAACAATGTTTGAGGGTAAAATAACTATTTTAATGTTTTCAGATGTGATTTTAGAGATATCTATATATAGAGAAAAACCCATATTTATGTAAAGTAATAAAATATTCGAATAAGTTTTTGAATTATGTTTGATGCAGAATGAAGCATTTCTCAAAAAGGATTCAGGAGAAGAAGTCGGTGTACAAGAAGGCAACCCGGATAAAGTAAGATTTATATGTGACTTCCTCAATGGCCGCTTAGTTGATATATTGTATGAAATCACATTTTGTTTAAGGGTGCATATTTTATGCTCATAATATCAATTTTTCTTTCGCGCATTTTCAGGTTTTGCTATACCGAAGTAGAGAAGGACAATGGGGAACCCAAGCTGAACTCGTAGTTTATGGGTTACAAAACGTTGAACTAGGCCAATACACTACGGCGTATATCAGTGTCGTTAGTGGGTTGGATGGTTCACAGCAAGATCTCAATGTAATAGTAGCCGGATGGCATGTGAGTAATTAATACTATATTACTTGCTAAAGCGTTTCATTGAAAACATTATTATTTATTAATAAATTAATGGTCCTTTACATCTTGAAAGAAAAAATTTCAGATATTTGAAATTTAGAATAATGATAAATTTTATTCAATTATAACATAAATCTTTCAACATTTTGTATACTAGGTACATCCGAAGTTATATGGCGATACAGATACTCACTTTTTTACTTATTGGACGGTAACATTTATTTGCTTATTAGTTTATAAAATTTTGTCATAATACATATATTTTTTATCTTATTGAATTGTCATGCTTACTATGGTTTATGACATCATATGTCAGGCCGATGGTAACATGACTACAGGCTGCTTGAACCTTTTATGCAAGGGTTTTGTGCCCTCTAATACTTTTGAAGTTCCGGGATTCAAGATTTGGCCACTTTCCGTTTATAACGGAACACAATATGTTATTAGAGTCAAATTACACAAGGTAGTATGATAATCATTTTCCTTCCATTTATTTTGTTGTGATTGATTTTAGTTATAGCAATTTCTTGAATCACTTTGTTTAAATTACTATCAAACATCAAATAATATTTTTTAGCAGACAACCTTGTTGGTACTTGCTTTTATACAAATTATACGTCTCATTAACTGAATGTCTATTTACATGAATTAATGATTTTAAAATGTTCTATTTACGTGCATTAAAACATTTATCGGGTTTGGACCTTCACCCAAACCTAGAAAGTTCTTAGTGAATATGAGTAAGTCCATGTAGAAATTTATAATTCACTTGATTGCAAGGTTTTAAATATCGGTTATCGGGAATTTATCGGACGACCAAAATTCTTATCGGATAGCGGAAATCGGGGATATATCGGGGATAAGTAGTATTTATCGGAGTGATATACTAGATGGTGTATATATATAATTTAATAACTAAAAAATGTAATCTAACCATGCTTAATGAAATATAAACATACCAAAATGTAAATCATCATGTTTAGAATCACTAACCAATTGTAGAAAGCAAAACTTGCATCTTGACCGCACGATGAAACCATTCGATTGCATAGCCTTACTTATCGGCCGATAATCCCGATAAAAAAACCTTACTTATCGGCCGATAAGTACCGATAACGCCGATAACTCCCCGATAATTTGCCAAAAACGATAACCGATTAAAAATTCAAGTTATCCTATCGGAGAGCTCCCAAATCCGATAACTCGGCCGATAATATCGGTTATCGGCCGATATTTAAAACAGTGCTTGATTGCTACTGATACTAAATATAGTGATGCTAAATATTTCTTGTTAGAAACCTTTATCATGCAAACTCAACCTACTGATCAAAATTGATAAGTGTCAATACACCATGCAACCAGTTATATACACAAGTAATTATGTAAGAGATTATGACACCTATTGCTAATTTATAGATTAATTAAGACTGTTTTGCTTTCCGTTCAAGGCAGCTTATCGCATTTGTATGATACGTTATATATAGCATCAGTCTTGTTATATCGACCAAAACAACATTAGTCTTGTTATACTACAAATTAAGAAAATTCATAATTTGCTATTCGTTCATCATATATGATACTTCTTGAAGATACTCTAAAGCATCATAGTGTGGAAACGGTTCACACTTGCAAATATTGTCAAGAATAATTTCGATTTTGCCTTTTCACTTCTTCTAAGTTTACCCTTTATGATGATAGGATGAGGCTAGCGAAAATTGGATGTTGCACGTTCAAGATAAATTATTAGGATACTGGCCGAAAACATTATTCAAGAGTTTATCTGTGGGTGCTCAAGAAATCAGTTGGGGTGGAAATGTTAACTTCGAAAACAATCAGGGAAGCCCTCCGATGGGAAGTGGCCGTTTTCCTGAGGAAGGTGGGGGAAAAGCAGCAGCAATCCAGGAAATCCAGTTTGTTAATCAACGTGGAGAACCTTATGATTTGACTCCGGATCAAGCGTATTCTTATGTTGACAACGAACCTTGCATCAAGTTAGGAGAATTATTTCATACAAATATCGGATTTATGTTCTATTTTGGAGGTCCTGGTGGTTGTTAATCTTAAAAGTTGAATTGTAATATGTTCCTTTGCACCAAAATGTAAGCATTGGAGAGTCCTCATTGCTAACAAATAAAAATCGAGAGAATCTAATTATGATCATGAAAATATATATATTGGAACTAAATGAATGTCGCTTTACATTGTAATTTAATTCATGTTGAGTTAGCTTTTTTCTATTACTCCACCAACATCATGTATATACGCCTCTCAGCATAAGTAGTTAGCTACCTTCTGGATGGAGCAATTCTTTGGAGTTCCTTTATTCACATCCTTGCTGAAACTCTGTCCGGAGCTCCTTTATTCACGTACTTGTTTGAAACTCTGTCCGGAGCAAGTTGACCATCAAAGCATACATTCAATAGATATATTTTGCCTGTCAAAACAAAATCAGATCAACACCAGCTCATTCATTGGCCCCAGGAAAAAAATAAGCAAGACATGAAGGGTGCTTGGGGATCTTATTTTTCAGTCAAATTGGAGCCTTTTCATATCTATCTGTTTGGAAAAATACCAAATAAATTAGCTTATAAACCCCACTTTAAAGAGCCAGTATACTCCCAATTTCTGAAAAAATTGCTTATAAGGTCATCTAAGTAAGCTAGGTTTGACCAAGCAAATTAAATTATACCCAAAGGATTTTTATACAAGTTTTATGATATAATCCAAAAGCTACCAAAAGCTAACATAGATTAATAGCTTCTAAAAATAAGCCCCTCCAAACACCCTCATAGCCATTTTTCTTTTGCATTAAAGCAAATGATGTCTGCAAAATAAACAAGGAAGGCAAAAAAGAAAAGAAAAGCATGGTGGAATCCACTGCTTCCTTCAACTTAGTTCAAATATTGGACAAAATATCATATTTGGTATCGGTATAGGAGAATATTCTACAATACTATATTTGGGATATAGGCTTTGATAATGATGATGATACATTGAAATGACAAGTTTTAAATCACATTAATTTTTGTGAGTACTTGAGATTCTATAATATTAATAGCAAATGGATAATAATTCTTAGTAATATTTTAATTACCAGTACAAGTCTCATTCGTAAGTTTTGGCACAAAACAATAAGTTTTTTGTATAATATACTGTTTATTAGCAAATTTTAGGCAATATTGCAAGAAAATCATGATATATTGGGCAGCATTTCATCCAAAAATGTCGCAACATTGGTTTTAACTTTTATTTATTTTACATGTTAGATTTGAATTTATGGCAAAATTGAGGCGTAAATCTAAACATGTACTCAATTAAAATGCCAAAAAACAAAAAGGAAATTTAGGACCCAACCAGGCCCAAATTCTTCTGTAAAAGGTTTACAACTCTTTTAGTTTCTGACTCTCTTCTTTAAGTTGCACTGTGTTGTAGCACCACCTAATTGTGCCTTCCCTTCCTTGGTTGCTTGCAGCTGACAAATTACTCTCTGTATAAATCCCTCATAATTTTTAAAATCTCTCTCCTCATTTTCATCATTGGTCAGTTACTCGATCATATAAAACCATATCAGGAAACAAAAATATGAACTAATTTAAAACTAATAAATAATTTGCAACAAATTTTTATTAAAACAAAAGTAAAAACTCACCATAAAATGGACGCTGCCATCACTTCGGATTCAGTTCCTCTCTAATTTGGTGGTAATTAGAGAGGATCCAATTATTCGAGTCATTAACTTTCGTTCTAATTTTAAGGGCCGATCATAGGCATCATTTGTAGAAATTAACAAGCAACCGCTTGCATTGTTCAGGCGGGGCTGATAGGCTAGCCACATTACGTTTGCCCTGGGCAGCTGCCCAGGGCAAGAATGGGGGAAATTTACCACTACGCTTCTCAATTTAACCTCTTCAACCTACAACACCTCACCCAAATAACCACAAAGCAAATAACCCTTTACCCAACAATGAACCCCAAGTTCACAACCAAGCTCCTCCATTTTTGCTCCTCAACCAACCCTTGCTGCCTCAAAAGCATCTCTCCTCCCTCTAAGGCACCTGCCACCGTGGTGCCTGTGAAAGCCCCGACGCCTCCCGCTCCCGTCACCGACCCTCCGACTTGACTCCCTCCCAAACGTGCATGCACAAGGGTCTGGTCTTGACCGACCCGGCACAGAAGTGGTACGAGCCTCGATCGGACTTGCTCGGCCGTGAATATTTCTCTTACGCTGGTGGCAGTATCTACGCGCTATCATACGAAGTTGTCGAGAACCTGGTTAGCTTGAGGAGAGACGTCGTTCGTCTCTTCAATGAAGATGTGATGATCGGGGCTTGGATGCTGGCCATGAACGTCCACTACGAAGATGACTGGGCAGTCTGCGAGCCTGAATGCACGCCGTCGTCGGTGGCTGTCTGGGATGATGGGTGCTCAGGGCTATGCAATCCAGAGGTGAGGATGTTCGGGATTTTTTTTCTGGGCCAAAAAAAAATCCGCGTACGCACTGTTGCAGGCGAGATGAGAGCTGCTTGAACGTTCAATCGGAGCTTGTAGGTGAGCTTGGCCAAACAGGCGGTGCGGCTGGTGGGCCCTTCGACGTTGTGAGCTGGCGTTCTGTTGACAAGCTGAGTTCGTGCAGGCAAACTCACTACAGCGGGATGACTCGTGCGGGCGAGTAATGCGGCTCTAGGCAAGCGGTCCGAGCACAAGGTGTTCAGGCGAGGTCGAGCTCGTGCTGGCGAGCTCGATAATCAGGCAAGCTTGAATCGTGCTGGGAGTCAAGCAAACAGGAAAGATTGGTGAGGTTTGGCACATACAGGCGAGCCAAACAAATAGGCGAGGTTTGTCATGCAGGCGAGCTCTGCTTGGCCTTTTGCTTGCAGGCGAGCTTGACTGAGCTGACGAATCTCGACCATTGAGATTCGCCTATATGAAGCGCTATCTTCCTCGTCGGGAGGTTACTGTGATATCAAAATTTCTATTCATGTTCTCAAAGAAAACCCAAACTCTCCTTCATTCTCAAGTTTGAAATTGCCTCAAGAGTGTGAGCCACCGCTTCTAGCAGGAAGAA